GATATTCCAAATAACCTTATAAAACCTTTCTTGTCGCTTACCTTACGCGTTCACTCAGTGCAGAACTACGGGGATTCTGGATGGCACAATATATAAACCATTTCCTGTCCACTTTATTCATTAGCAAGTCACAACAGAACCAGCGCGTCCGCAGCCTTACCATTAAACGCGTTTGCACAAGTATTAATACAAAAGGTGGGTTAACTCATGAAATGTCAACTGAAATTCCGAAGTGCGTTCTCGTTTTGAAAAAAAATAATTAAGTAGGGTATTAAAACTAATCGGACTGCAGTAAAAATTGTATAACAACTCAGTTACCTCAGGATGCCGGCTTTCGAACGAACTTATTCCGGCTGCATGCAATATCAATACTCTGTAAAAAAATACTACGGACGTAGCATACATTTTTTTCTTCGTTGTTTAATGCCCCGAAAAGTCAAATTATATCTCATGGAAAAAATGAAGAAGGTATTCATTATTTTCCTCAATCGATAAACAATTAGTATTGTTTTAATGTTTTACTCAAAGGAGGGCCATATTTCGGTTTTAAAAAGTTTTTTACTGTATGACTTTTACATACCGTGAAATGACCGTTCATAAAGCGTCATGTAACTGCATTTAACAATGCCGCTTATATAGTTAACAATATACATAAAATCAACTGCTAACTTTTTATGAAAAACATATGACTTTATTTTAATGCCGTAGATAAATGTGTGGTTTTCTGTACGCGGTAAATACATGGATTGCAGTTTGGAAACCCTGGATGTAAGTGTGACCGCAGAGCAGGTTTAAAATTATTCGGGAATCTGAAAGGTTTTGAAAAGCGAATTATCCCCTTTCTTTAAGTATAACATTGGAAGAAAATGTAATTTACTACCAAATGGGCAGTAGAAGATATATTTTTTGCATGCTTTACATGAAATATAATTGGACTTTTAGGGGCATCTAAAATTAAAGAGAAAAAAACATGCTTCGTAAGTAGTCACTTTTTAGAGCACAGTTTTGGCATGCCACCAGAAGGAAGTTCTTACGAAAGCCGGAACCAAGAGGTTACTGATTTATTATAAAATAATGTTGCAGGCTGATTACTTACCTTACCTTACCTTACTTAATTAATCTTTCCGAAACGGAAACGCATTTCGGAATTTCGGTCGGCATTTCATGAGTTAACCCACCTAATGCAGATTTGAGCTAAATGTTGAAAACAAACCCGGGGTTGGTGAGGTTGGTCATTACAGACTCCATTATCTTTCTCTGTTATATAATTTGCCCATATTAGTAGTCCACGCCCCCACTGAAATGCAAAGACCAACAGGAAGATCACCGCCGTAATCCTAACGTCATCTACCAGGCCAACATATCCGCTGCTGAGTGTTTAACAATTTCAGCTTGATCAACTAGTAGCTGAAAGAGCTCATGTTGAACCCAAATTGCCCCCAACCACAGAGTTTAGGAAGACTAAATGACGACGGATTAGAGCCTGACGCAACAACTGCAAACCAATTTTCAGGCCAGAAGAATTGCATCAGTGTCGTTCTGCATGCTGACGATGGCTGACGATTCTTTGGGCGCTAGCGTTAACACGAAACGTCGAGCCCTTTTCTTATTGCCCATATAAATTCTAAGACTAACAGAGTTAATAAAGAAGTTGGCAATCTATCTCCTGTTCCGACAAAGTTACTTTTTCAACCACCTATAAAAATGTCCCGGTGTCAAGCGATTTTTTGTAAGGAAACTTACAATACAGCACATTAAATTATCATGGGCATCTACGTGCAGTCCGTGCCCTACCCAATGAAACACGATGATTGAAACTAATATGACAATTTTTGGACACCCTTAACGTTTTGCATATTGGTAACTCATCCAGTCACTCGTCGACAATTCGCTAAATATATCAACGCCCTTTTATTAAGCACGATGTTCGTACATATAAGAGCAATAGACGTTTTCATATATTTGGAGACTTTTCTATGCGAATAACTTTCCTAGAATTCAGCTGCGCATTTGGGTGTGTTTTCCTATAAGCTGAGACTAAATCACTCCTGAGAGGTCTACTATACATGCTTGCTGCACTTGATAATTGGTTTTCGTTTGTTGCTGAATGAGGGAACCGAGGTGTAAACGTACATTTCGTTTTTAGAGAACCATACATTTTATTGATTTTTACAAGTTTGAATAGGAGATCTGAGGGATTGCGTGCCCGTAAGTGCAGTAGCAGCGCACATAAGCAATACGTCTTCTTAATGGGCCATATTCGTTTTTCCATCTGTAAATTTTGTGAGTTGTCACCTAGGAGACTATTGCCGAATCCATATTGACGCAACTCTCAGAAAATCCGCGCCTCGGTGGTATTCGAACCCACGGAGTAAGGGGAGACCTTTAGTACAACCAATCCCCTAGTCACTTGAGCTACGAGGCCCCGCCGGATGATATTAGTTTAATCACATTTGGGTCAAGTTATCCGCCCAACCTACTGCAACGTCTTAAATCCTCCACATGTGAGATAGTAAGTTGACTGCCCAACCCAGGATTTCTTAACTAATTCACCTAGAATCCAACAGACGACTACAAGGCTCACGCAATTCATAAATGTTTTGGCAGTTTGTGAGCCTGATCTATGAGCCTAGTAGTCATCTGGTGGATTCTGGGTGAATTACGTAGGAAATCCTGATTGGGCGGTAAAACCGAATGCAACAGATTTGGTAGATTCCAGACGTTAATATAGGTTAGGCGAGTAATTTGACCTAAATGTGATTAAACTGACGTCGTCTGGCTGGCCTCGTAGCTCAAGTGGCTGGGACGTGGGCTGTGATAAAGACTTCCCCCCACTGTGTGGATTCCAATCCTGCCGAGGCGCCGAGTCTTTCACAGTTGGGACAATTTGAATTATTGAAAATCTACCAAAACATATATGTTTCGCTGAATCAACAGGTAGGAGAAATAAATGTGTAAAATTAATTCCGTGCAAAACAGCGGAAAATATACTTTTTAGAACAACCCTTCAGGTATATTTAGGGCTACAACACTTTTTGCCAAGCTGCAGCGAATTCATTGTGCACTAACTAATTATTGCTTGCTTGCTAGGTGGTTTTCAGTTTGGGCATACTAAATGAGTAGTTAAAAGAACTCATGTTGAACCTCATGTGTATACAAACAGGGAGTTGGCGAGGACTGAAAAACGACGAATTTTAGGCGGGAGCGGTGATTGTATAGGAATTTTAGAGTCAGGCATGTCTCAGGCTGCATCGCTTCATTTAGATCTACAAGGAATACACATTGCACTAACTAATTATTGCTTGTTTGGAAACTACCTTTGCTCATAGGGAACCCCTACTAACATGTGGACCGAATTTCGTGTATAATAATACGTATCGAAGCCACATTGCCATTACCCATTCAAGGGATATTTAAAATGCAGAGAATTTCGTTAAATATGGTTGCTTTTACTTTAAAATACGACTTAGATGAATCGAATAACAACGGTCGATTTCACTAACGGATACAATTCAGGTGAACGCCTTCAGCACAACAGCGCTTGTATGCGTAGAATCACGCGAGCGCGATTGCGTCAATTTCAGCGACACTTTTAGAGGCTACTGTTAACGAGCCGGACGCATTGACCCGCCGTAAGCGCTCACTCCACGGTCAAGTCTGCCTACAGAGGCATCCATCTGACCGCTCTATTACTCCGGCATCTGCATAAACTAACAGAAAATCCTACATAACCTTGCGTCTACTAGGTCAACCGCTATGTTTCGTGATCCAGGACGTCTGACATTAATCGCTCATTATCGCCGACACAGACCTCCTCGAAATCTAGTTTCTGCGGGTGAGTTTAATAGTTTAAGCTGCAGACAGTGAAGCCTAAGTCAGCAAATGCATGTTTGAAAAGTCAATTGCAACATTGGAATATTCGCTGAACTTAGAAAATGCATGTTTTTTAATTTTTTTAAAGCTCTCTGCTCCTGGACAAATATGCAGTCATTGCGAGCGTCGATGTCACCCACTCTATCGTTCCATATTTTAGGACTTAGTATAACACATGGATATAAGGCACACTAGAGTCCACAGTCACAATCATGATGACGGACTGCCAGTTTTAGTTTTTCAACGTTGCGGCACACTCGGGCACTAGGGTTACCAAAATAGGTAATTACACACTGTTAGTGATTTTGAGCATTTTAAAAATTCATCAGTTAAAATTCAAAAACATTTTCATACGGTGACATTAAATTTAATTAAATTGAAAATCTAGAAGAGATGTTAGACTAATGTGTCAGAACTACGTAGCAGCCCAATCAAACGTTGACATTCAAGATCTAAGGTGGTCTCATTGTATCTGATTCGCAATGACTGAGAGTGGTAACTTGAAGCAAGATCCGATTTCAAATAACGGGCATTCCACATAAGGTGTGTTTCCAATGGCTCTAAGTAACTGGATATGTCGCGTGAACTCCTGCACACTTTATTCCTAAGACGGCGTCCACACATGAATCGGAATGGTCCCAACAATCGGACGGATGTGTTCTCCCTCATGGTTGATTTGAGGGAAGGTAGCTCTATTTAATCCACAATCAGTGTTCCTTTAAATGCCCATAATTTTTGAAACCGAATGCCGAAGCCGTGTTTATGTGCAAGTTAAAATTTCAGAACGTGTTTTTAACTAACTTATTACGTAGAGAATTTAATTTTTACATTGAAGTGGGCATATGTTCTCGTCAGAACAGGACGCTACATGACGTCTGTCAGCATGAGTAGGTTTTGAATCGTACCCCTTACACGAAACATTATTGAATAAACATTCCGTACTACTTAGCTGAATGAAGTAACTCCTTAACGAGAGCGTCTTCTTCGATTTGAAAAGCGTAGGAAAATCGGGAGTGAACTGTTTATTTTCTGAGTATTCCTGAACCTTACAAATAATGCGTGCGCGCGCATTGCTGTGTGCCTTTGGGTTCAATGTATAGTTTACGAAGGCAGTCCAAATACAACTA